TGTCGCTCTGTGCAGGCTCCACGGGGGAAGCCTTGCTCGCCACCCTCCAGAAGGCCGCAGAGGTCGTGGCCAGCGCCGTGTGCCCTGGGCCCGAGGGCCCCGGCTCCCAGGGGCCCCTGCTGCAGGGCGACGCCTACCAGCCTGCTGTGACGCCTGCCGCCAGCCACGGCCACCTCGCCCCTGCGAACCCACCCCCTGGAGCCCTGCCGGGGGCCCGAGGTATCAGGGTCTGACTCTCCCCGTCCCTGGCTCCTTCCTGCCCCTGCTGGGCTGAGCGGAGCCGGGTTCCAGGTGAGGGCAGGCGAGAGGAGGGCAGCCCACCCCGCCTGACACACTGCCAGGGGCTCGGCCGCCACCAGCGCCCCCGCGTGCCCTGTGGCCTCTGGTGGCTTCACGCAGGCGGTGCTGCCCGGCGTTAGCTCCGTGTGGATCGGCCCTGGGTGGGCGGGGCTCGCTGTGGCCCAGGCCCCAGCGCCTAGTGCAGGGCCAGACGTGGGCTGGGCCAGGAGCCCTTTCATCCCCGCACCCGGGCGGCGGGTTGCCCTGTGCCCGTCTGCATGGCTCTGCCCGACGGCCCTCAGCAAGGGCTGGCCTCTAACTCCTGTGTCCTGGGGGCTGGGCAGTGGCACAGGTTGACTGAAGAGCAAGGTGCTGGGAGACAGGAGGCGGGGCAGGTGTCCCCGAGTGACGAGAGCTGCGGTGCTCAGTGCTGCTGCGTCTCCCCGACATGAGCCCCAGGCCAGTGTGTCCACCCAACCTCTGTGAGGGTGCACCCTGTCCACATCTTGGGGTGCCCTCCCTGGTCCTCTAGGTCCCCCAGTCTTGGGGTCCCCGGGAGTGGGTGTGAGACCGTCTGAGGCCCCTGGGTCTCACCGTGATCACCTTTCTTCCAGCCACAAGACACCAGCCGGGGCAGGCGGGCGGGGGCTGGGACGAGCAGGACAGCAGTCCCGGCTCCCAGGGTTCTTGCCAGGACAATGGCCAGAGCAGGGCCTCGGGCTCCGGCACTTGGTCGGGCAGTGACAGCCCCTCGGGGGCCAGCGGGGTGCCCGGCGACCTGGCTGAGAGGTGAGCCAGCCCTCGGCCTCTCCACCTGTTCACTATCGGGGTCCCGCCCAGCGGGGTGTGATCTGGAAGAGCCTGGCCCTTCGCCCACCCGCTGTGCCCCCTGCAGGGTGGAGGCCGTGACCCTGAGCGACTGCCAGCAGGAGCTGAGCCTGGTCCAGATGGTGACACAGGGGCCACGCCCCTTCCTGAGCCAAGAGGAGGCTCAGCACTTCGTCAAAGAGTGAGCCCCTGACCAAGGCTTTCCCCTACCCCTCCCTCCCCGCTCTCGCCCCCTGAGGGAAGGGCCTGGCCGCCTGCCCTGCCCACCAGTCCTGCCCGGTGGCTTTCCCGCAGGTGTGGGCTGCTCAACTG